GACCTCACTGGGGTGAGGCATAAAGAAATTCAAAAACACAAAGGGGAATGAAAAATACCAAGTGAATCATAAGCTGTTATAATTCAGTGAGGGTAAAGTTCTACTTGGGATCCAATTTAAGGTAGGCTTATATTTTATTTGAACTGTTCATTCCTACTTACAAGCATATTAGGTTAGGTCCAGTCCACAGACTTGAAATACCCACTGGATACTAATATTTGTCAGTAGAAAATAGAAGAAACATGAAAAATCTCTTGCCATTAATATCAAGAGCCAGTGAGTGTACACTCTGACATTTCTCCTTTCCTGCAAGGAGCCCCTGCTCTGCAAAGCAAATTCCACGCTGTAGCTTTGAATTCCTGTGGAGAAAAGATGAAAGGTGAAACCCCAGCTCTTTGAAAGTCAACACCAAGATTCCTGCCAACCTTGAGATGAATCAGGGTCCACCCATGATTTTCTGAGGGAGAACTGGGACCACAAACATCCTCCTCAGCTCCTTGGAAGCTCATCAAGCACCTGCACGTCAAAGGCACGGCTGCAGCTCTTGGAAATCAAAGAGTGTAAGGATCAAACCTGTGTAGGAACCACGGCAAGGAGCTCCAATGCCTTCCCAACCCCCTGAGAACACCATGGAGAGCACTCCAAGCTCACCACAACCACAGGTCTACACCAGCTGTCTCCTCTCCATTGACAGGCTTTGTCATTAAAGCCTCTACTTAGCACAGTAAAATAATTATTTCAGTTGGAGAATTTGTGGTCAGGCACAAAGCTTTTCAGGCTTTTCTCACTTTGCAAACAGGAGAGTGTTTCACCATGGACAAGAAGGTTCTTGCAGGAGCCAAGCTGAGAATTACTGCTCAGAGAAGGAAACAAAGAGTTGTACTATTGCCTCTTGAAAAGGCTTTACACCCCCAGACAGCCAATGTTAGCAATAGATGAATCACTGTCATTCACAAACAGGGAGATGTAAACAAGATGATGTGAAATCCCACTGTTTCATTTGACAAGCTCTGGAGGAAGATCTGGACACAGAGCCCAGGGCATCGCAGCTTCTCTTGCTCAGCAGCTGCATTATTTCCTCCCACCTCTGTGTTTGTCCCCAGTACTCAACCTCTGGGGTTTTTTTATACCCAGATTCTACACCTTAGTTTGCCAAAAACTTGGAATCCACGCCTGGGAATGTCCTCCCTCAGCATCCTGCAGCTCCAGCAGCCCCTGGTTACAGAGTGCAGAGAGCTGTGCTCACAGCATGAGAACCAACACTGAGCATATAAACACATTTATGGGAAATGGGGGATAAATTTAACAGTCCCAAGAGCCAGTCTGATCAGCAGTTGACACTTATTTCAGCGATGGCTCCCTCAAAGTGGCCCCTTGGTGTCCCACATCACCCCAACCCCAGTGAGAAGCTCCAGGTGAGCACCACGAGGTGCTGAGTGACAGCCCAGAGCAGGGTCTGTGTCAGCACCAGCACACCAGGGTGGGGATGGGGCATCAACCAGTGCAGGGGCTGGTCCACAGCGTGGGGAGACACAGCTGCTGTCCCTGGACCAGCGTGGGACCAGCCTAATCCCCGCTGCAGAGATCAGGTTTGCCACTCCTGGCAGTGTGGTACTTGAGCAGCACTGCAGCCCACGAGGAGCTGGTGCTCCAGGGAGGTGTTTTTTTCCCTAATTTCGTGATCCAGAAGGTGCTCAGCCCGACCTTGAGGGATCTCTGCTCTGTCTGCACTGGATTAGACTGAAGTGCTGTTCAGAACACTGGACTGTGGCTCTGAGCCCTCCCACGCTGAGGGAAACAGTTTAGTTTCTCTTTTCCAGTGCATTCCCAGATCACGCTGAAGGCCTGAATTACAGGAGGTAAATTCACTCCATTTGCTGGAGAAAAGGTTCTTCCCCATCACCACCTTTCCTAAATCACCTGTTGCTCCTTGACTCTGAGTCCAAACAGGCCACAGCTCCCAGAAATGCTTGTTTGGAGTAATTGTTGCGATGCTTTTGTGCTGCTGAGGCAGGAAGGCCTTTTCCTGAGCTTATTATCAAAGCATTTCACCCAACTGATGATTCAGCCTTTTCGCTTCAAGCATAAATCACCCTCCAGGTAAAGTCTTGCTGGAAAGATTTCACTGGCCCCAATTAAAAGGAAACTCTCTGAAAGTACAAACAGTGGATCAGCCAGGAGAAAATGGGCTGAGATTTGACAACTTGCTTTCTCCTTGCCCTCCTAATTCCTCAGTTTATCACAGGAGAAGACATGGATATTTGCAAAGCAGGTTGTTTAATGCAAAGCCTGTGCTGAAGTCTCTCTAAAACTGTAGGAAGGCTGTCCCTGGACCACACAGAAACTCATCTCAATCCTTTGGAAGTGACTAAATAACCCTTCCCAATAAAGTGCTTGCTCTGGACAGACCTGAGCCCAAACCGTTCAACCCAAGGCCAAGTTCCCGCATTCCTGAACATCACTTGGCACCAAACTCTTCAGTCTGCCCGATGGCACCACAAAGCAGCTTTTTCAGTCTCAAATCTGCTTTCAGGACAGAGGAGATTAAATGGTTCCATTAATGCTGAACTTAAAAGGCACATTTCACCCTGTGACAGATCCCTGCCATCACCACTGAAAATCCTGATCCTTCCAAACACCCCCCAATCAATGGAGCAGCAGGAAGAGGGGAGCACTAACAAAGCCCTGGTGATGCAGAGCAATCAATCAACCAGCCTTTTTCAGAAGGAAATGAAGGGCCCATTAAGGAGGAAGTTGTAACCTCAACGTTCCTGGGCTGGGTCTGAGTCCCAGACTGCCTGGCATCACAGGGATTTCAGCCCCAGGAACGGCCCCCAAGCAGGGCTGGCAGCTCTGACAGCAGGATTGGAGGGGGTTTGCAAGAGCAGGGTGACAAACCTGCCCCAGCAGAACCCCTGTGGCCGTGGGCACAGCAAGGAAGGGGTGAAGGAAGGGCTCTGCTGAGCCTGAGGGACAGCAGCTCACACAGTCATGGGATGGTTTGGGTTGGGAGGAACCGTAAAGCTCGTCCTGTTCCACTAGGGACACCTTCCACCAGCCCAGGTGGGATTCTGTGACCAGCTGCACTTCTGCTACTCCTGCAGTCTGAGAGCTGAATCCACCACGAGCCACCACAGAGGGTTTCAGTCACTGCAGCCCCTGTGGTTTGGGCTTTTGTCTCCTTTTTAAATTTGGTGAACTCAGAGTAGGCACAGAAGACACCAAAACAAAAGCCAAGTGGCCGGAAAACTGCCATGTGAGTGAAGCTGTGAAGAGGTTGAGGGATGCACAGGGTGGATCTTCTCCACACACAGATTCTCTCAGCAAAGGCACAGGCAGGTCCTCAGCAAGCAGGGCAGCACAGGGAGGGGGTGACAGCACTCAGGGCCGAGGGACAGGAGGCAGAGATGGCTCCTGGCATAATTTACATGAACTGAGGGGCCCTGTGGCACAACAACCCTCCACCCAACAAGCAGAACATCCAGAGACCCTCAGACCTGACAGAGAAGTGAACCCACCGAGCACCACAACCTACACTGGGGTCTCAGACATGATGTACAACAAACACTCAACAGCAGCTCATCCAGGAATCTGTTCCCAGCGAGGTTAATGGGTGTCTGGGATGACACTGTTAAGAGTTCCAAAGCAACCCCCAAAATCAATACCCCAAATAGCAGGCTCTGGGTTTTGCATGTGGTACAAGAGGCAGTTTGGGAGAAGATGATCTAATACACCACATATTGATTAATCAATTCAGGCAGGATGCTAATGGGCTTTTCTTACAACGCTTGGCACTGGAAGGAAGGAGCAGGAATGCTGAATGGGAGTGGGAGAAACCGGTTGTGTGGTGAAGTTTCAGGGAGAGAGGGGGGGCATGGAGTGGGGAAATGGGCCCTTCTAGAGATCACTCTGAGTGGTCTGAGACTGGGAACAAATGGAGGAGCTGAGCAACGAGTGGAGAAGGCAATAAATCAGGTGTATTGGCTTCAAACCCAGCAGAATTGTACCTTGCAATTTACTGTGGTTGATGAAAATCCTTTCCTGTTGCTACAAAAACCCTCCCAGGCAGGGCTGTGAGAGAGCCCAGCGTGGGTCTGGAGGCTGTAACGAAGCAGAGTGAACTCAGTGCCATCCTCCTGCCACTGCAGTGGGCTGAGGGCATTAGTAATGCCTACTTTAGTTATCTTTCCACATAAAATACAGCCTCAAACAAGAGCATTGCACAGCCTGAAAGCCAAGCAGAGTCATTCAGTCATTGCTAACTGGGTGAGATTGTCCTGCTCTGGGAAAGTGGAAAGAGTAAAACTGAGCAACCAAGAGATTTGGACAAAAACTGTCAAGCAAAGACCCCTGTGAGGAAATTCAGCCTGGTCTTCACAGCCAACAGGGTCATGCCAGGTGGGAAGGTGAGTGGTAGGGCTTCCTAAAATTGAGTCACAGGTTTTGCCACCCAATACTGTGCAGTTTGGTCACTGATTTACTGCAGGACATTGTGAGAACTTGCTCCTGCTCACCCACCCATCCCACAGCAGCACCTTGGAGTGCCACAGCAATTCCTACACTTGGCAACAGCCCACTGACACGAGACATGCTGCAGGAAAGCAAGTCACAGAGTCACAGAATCAACAGGGTTGGAAAAAACCTCTGAGACCATCGAGTCCAACCTGTGACCCAACCCCACCTTGGCACCCAGCCCATGGCACTGATGCCACATCCAGGCTCTGCTCAAACCCCTCCAGGCACAGGGACTCCACCATTCCAATGGCTGAGCACTCTCCTCTGGACATGACCTCAAACCACCACAGCCCATGGTGGTGGCTCAAAGGCTCTCACAGCACCTGCAGAACAACCCCCAGGAAAACAGGAGCAATCCTCCTAAAAAGCAGGGCGAGGTGCTATGAGAAAATACACAAATTAAATCCCTTTTTCTTCCACAACAACCATTTCCCAGACTACCACAAGGCACAGCAGCACCCTGAGGAGCCCTCCAGCAGACTCACATTGTAGAGGATGTCTGTCCACCCCTCCATGGTGATGCACTGGAAGACGGTGAGCACAGCAAAGAGGATGTTGTCGAAGTTGGTGATGCCGTAGTTGGGCCCTTGCCAGTACTCCCTGCAGGTGGTCCCGCTCTCACACTGCCTGGCAGGGGGCTCCTCTCCACAGGGGAAATCTCCCACCTCATCACCTGCAGAGAGGGGAGAAAAGTTACCACCTGAAGCCGTGAGAGCAGCTGGATCCTCCCTGCAGCGCTGCAGGAGCAGCAGTCGCAGTTTGGGGCTCCTTGGGTTCCCACTATAAAGTCATCATGCCCATGTAAGCATTTATAAGCTGCTGTGGTATAAGAGATGGTTTAGGGTGCAGTGGAGCCATCCCTGAAGCGCCCATCATTTATAGTTTGCCTCAATTCATGTCATGGAGTCGTGGGAATGACCTCCATGATCCCCAGGTCCAACCATCACCACAGCACCAGCACCACGTTCACCATAAACCATGTCCCCAGGTGCCACATCCACAGGATTTTTGAACACTTCCAGGGATGGGGACTCCTGTTCCAATGCCTGACCACCCTTCCAGTGCAGAAATTTTCCCTGATCTCCAATTGGTGCAACTTGAGGCCGTTTCTTCTCATCCTGACACTTGTCACCTGGGAGAAAAGGCTTCCAAACTGCTAAGAATTTCCAGCTGAACACATCTAAGAGACCTGGAGACAGTGTGAGAGCAGCTGATCATGAGAAACACCACAAAAAAAACCCCAAAAGTGTGGTAAAAACAAGGGCTTGGAGACAGCACATACTTTGAACACCTTCCTACAGCACAGCCAAGGGTTAAATATTGGCATTATAACATTAAAGCTAAAGGGGAGGTTCTGGATCAAGAAAGGCCTGGTTGTGGAGAGCCCCAAAATTGTCCAGGTACAGATGTTAGACCAAAGCTGCATGAGGAGCCCTTGGTTTTATCATAAGAGAAAACCACCACAGCAGCCTGAAAGGTGGACTGAGGGTTCCAACCCCTCTGTAAGCTCCACATTTTTGCTCCACGTGGCAGGGAGAGCAGCCAGCTGATGCTGCTTCTCTGCTGGGTTTCACTTCAGACCCACAGAAGGCCAAAGTGGATGAATCTGTTAGGGAAGGACCACCAGTAATGGCCAGGAGGGTGCTCAGCACCTTCCAGGGTGAAGCCTGAGAGGTTTCAGGCAGTTTGGGAAATCAGAGTGCTGAGTTTTCAGAGCAACCAAATATGCAAAAGTAATATTCCTATTTACAGAGATGCAATTTGGGGAGCATTAAAGGGTTTTTTAAGTGACACGTTACTGTAATGGAGCAGCAAACTGCACAAAATCCAACTCACCAGGGGGGGAAAACAAGAGCAGCACTAACAAGAATTAGGAATAATCATTCCACAGAGCAGAGGCTGCAGGAGGAAAACAAGGTTGTCACTGTGGACCAGGATAAGTGCGCGTGTATATATATATATTTAAAAATATATATATTTATACATGACACACTTTCCTGTTAACTCAACACCTTGATTCAGGCAAACCTCCAGCTCCCATATGGGTCACCACAGGCTCTCATGAGGGCTTGGTGAGAGAAGGCTGCAAAAAAGAAAATGCCAAATCTGGCTCATGCAGATCGTTTGTGAGGGTGCAGTAAAAGGGGATCCAGTTTCATCTCAGTTTGGTTTCTTGCTGCCAGGTAATGCTGTGAAAATTCAGTTCACAGAGGGTTGGGTGGGGAGGGGATCCTTTTTAAAAAAGAGACCAGGACTGGGCCCGTGGCTGGGGAAGACAGAGAAAAGGGGAATCTCAAGGAAAAATAGGAAATAAATGTGATGCCCTTCTCTCTTGGAGCAGCTTCAGGGCACTTGGGTTGTGTCAGCTGCTTAAAAATGACCCTGTGTCAGCAAAACAGGACAGAGTGGAGGATGCAGGGAGAGGGGAACAAGTCAGGTGTCCCCTGGAACGTGCACTGCCATCACAGAATCTTCTCAGCTGGAAGGAACCCCCAAGGATCATCGAGTCCAGCTCTGAAGTGAACGGCCCCGCCAGGGATCAAACCCACAGCTCTGCTGTTGTCAGCACCGTGCTCTGACCAGCTGGGCTAACATTGATTTTTCACCCATTTTTCATCACAATAAAGCTGTATTTCCACACCACACCGTGGAAAATCGCCCCGTTTTGGTCCCTAACATCCCTCCTCGTTTATTCCTGACCTACCCGCGGCTGTCGGATCAGCGGGGTTAAAACAACACTCGTTGTTGACGCCTCCCCTCGGTTCCCCTCGCGATGCGCTGAGGTAACACTTGGTACCTCTCCTGGGGCTCCCGGTTCCAGGAAAAATCCCAGGAGCTCGCTCGCTTTGGGGATTTGGAACAGAAACGAGCACGAGCGACTGCGACTCCTCCTCCTCCAATTTCCTCCCCTCTGACAGAGGCGTCTCCTTAATGAGCTTCACATTTCCACTCTCAGGCCCGTTCGGAGCCCGTGGCTCGTTAATGCACCTCTTTGGAGATGCTGATTAGGTTTTAAAAGGCTCCGCTGATGGTTTGTGGCTGCTCTGCCGCTCCAGGGAGGGCAGCGCCAGGAAACCTCAGCGCATCTCCCTTCCAGAAACACCATTTCCCGGCCAGCAGCTGGAATTGATCCCCATAATTCACCCAACAACATCAAGCAGCCCTTCAGGACAAGGGGGGTGCACAGACACCTTCCACAGCCTGCACAAGAGACCCCAACAATCCCAGGAGTGTTGTCCAAACCCTCCTGGAGCTCTGGCAGCCTTGGGGCTGTGCCCACTGCCCTGGGGAGCCTGTTCAGTGCCAACCACCCTCTGGGGGAAGAACCTTTCCCTGAGATCCACCCTGAGCCTGCCCTGACACAGCTCCAGCCATTCCCTGGGGGCTGTCCCTGGTCCCCCCAGAGCAGAGCTCAGTCCTGCCCCTCCTCTGCCCCTGCCCAGGCAGTTGGAACTGCAAGTGAGCTCTCCCCTCAGTCTCCTCTGCTCCAGCTGAACACACCAAGTGCCCTCAGTGTCCTCACACGGCTCCAAATCCAGGCCCTTCCCCATCCTCGTTGCCCTCCAGTTTACACAGAGCTTTGCACGAGCAGGGGAAATTCTTCCTTATGTTCCTATGGAATGTTTTCCTAACGTTCCACAGGACCATAAGTTCATCCAAAGCTCTGTGTAAACCAAGTGCATTCAACTGTTTCCATGTTGCTGTTAGAAAGCTCTGTGAAGGGTGCCCAGAGACTTGGCAGGGATGTTGTTTTATTACCATTTGAATGCGTGTAAATAAATCAATATTAAGACCTACCAGTGATAATTACTGAAAATAAAAGACTGTGTTAAAGACAGTCGATTTTGCCTTAAAATGGAATAGTTTGAAGACAAGAACAATATTTTCTTCTGGGTTCAACCCAGTTGCCCAGAGAAGCTGTGGCTGCCCCATCCCTGGAAGTGTCCAAGGCCAGGTTGGACGGGGCTTGGAGCAGGGGGTGGGAACTGGATGATCTTTAAGGTGCCTTCCAACCCAAACCATTCCATGATTTGACCTGGCAGCTGGTCCCAGCCAGGGGACTTTGGGAATCATTCTTCTCCTCCTGCATCTTCTGGGGTTTATCACTCCGTCACAGGCAAACACATCATTTACTCTTCAGTGCCCAATTTCCCTTGCCCTTCTCTGAAAGTCGTTTTTATCCTTTCTCCATCAAAGGATTCCTTGCTTTCCATCTATTGTCCTTTTATTTTTGATTTGCTCCCAGTCTTTCCAATCTTTTACTATTTCCCACCAAAGTTTTCTCATACCCATGCAAATTCCTCGAAAACCTTCCAAGGAAATTCAACATTCATTGAGTTAAACCCAATGAGAATGTGAACAGACACCAATAAATAAGAAAAAAATAATAAGAAGAACCCAAACCCTCCACATTTCAACAAGCTCAAACAACAGGAATTTGGTTCTGTATCCCTACTATGAAAAAATTCTTCCATGAGAGGAGGCCCTAAGCACCTTCTTCTCATTTTTGTGTAGACAGAGAGCAGCCCAGGGGTGCTGTGGGGGTGAAACAGAGAGGAGAATCTGTCCTAATGAATGTAGGATGAGCACAAAATTCTGTAAACTCCTGGAGCTGCTGTTAAAGAGGGACAAAATGCAGTAAATACGGAAAAGGGTAAAGGAAAAGCAACATAAGAACAGGATATGAAGATCCTGAGGAGATGAAGGAGGCTGATGATCCACTTGAGAGGGGAGGGAAGCTCACAACTCACCTGTCTCGTTGGAGAAGCAGGTTTTGTGGAACTTGCCCATGTAAAACTCCAGCCCGATGATGGCAAACATGACGATGGCGAAGAAGAGGAGCAGCCCGATCTGCAGCAGGGGCACCATCGCCTTCATGATGGACTTGAGCACAACCTGCAGGCCTGTGGGGACAAGGAAAACATCTCAACAGGGATGGGAAAGGAAAAAAAACCACAAACAAGGGCTTGGGGGTGGAGGGGAGGCAGGAGAGAGGGGCTGCCCGAGGGGGAATTTAGGATTGGCAGTGCCACCAGTGCTGCTCCTCCCAGGGTGTCATAAAATGATGCCCCAGCCATGAGGAGCCCAAAGAGCAGGAGAGACCATCAGGAGTTCTCTTTTTGTGATGTCTTTTCTTCAGGGGACAGATCCAAAGGGCTGTTAAACCTCAGAGACCCAAAAAGGGTTTTTCCTGAACCAGACCCTCAGCAGGTCCTCAGGGCAGGCTGGGCATGGCTCTGCTCCCCTGTCCCAGGAATGCTGGGCTGGCCAGGAGCTGCCTCTGCCTCCACAACACACAGAACAACCACTGCTCCTGGAGAAACAATCCCTGTCTCCAGGGCTGTCCATCCAGAGCTTTTTCACCAGCACTGAAACTCATTTTCTATTAAAACCAGGGGAGATAAGGGAGAGGCTGGAGAGATAATGTCAAAAAGATGCCCACAACAAAAAAAACTGCAGTGCTAAGCAGCAGCTGCCTTGGTGGCCTGTCCTAAGGGGTGGAGAAAAAAGGATCATCTTTGTCTTGCCACCTTGGACAGCACTGGTGAGGTCAATATAGGGACAGGCAGGAAAAAAAAAAGGAATATTGGATGGGAAAAATACTGAGGGTGTAGAAGGCAAATGTAACTGTGGTTGTGTGTGATTGCACCTCAGGGCTGTACATCTACTATGGGGGAGGGGGGAAGGTACAGTTTTCACAGCACCCCTTAAAACCTGAGAGCAAATATTGTGGGAAAATATTGTGCTGGGTCAGGACACATCACCAGGTGGGAGAATGAGTCCTCCTGTGGGGGGGGACAGCTCTGAGGGGCCACCTTACTCCTCTGTCACCCCTAAACTGTCACTACCACACCCTGCCCAGGCAAGAAGTCCATGAATAAACAGCCAACAACAGCATATTATTAGAGATCCTGTTAACAAATGTCACCCTTCCCAAGGACCTCTCCTGTGTGGGAATCCAGACTGAAGCCCTGCCCATGAAAAATGCTGATGGCAGGAAGTTTTGGTGCAATAATTACAGAGCATCACCTCTTGCTGGGTGTCTGCAGCACCGAAGTCTCAGCCCTGAAGCAACCAGGGAGGTGGCAGAGCTGATGACCCAGGAGGAGATGGGGCTGACTGGCTGCCAAGGGGTTAATGCAGACAAAACCAGAGCTTCCCACAGAGCTGCAGTTCCCTTCCACCAGCTCTTGCTGGAGGGTCAAACCTCTCTGTTCCACGGTCAAAAATTAAACCCACTGCTGACTGCAGCAGGCAGAGGAGACAGGGACAAATGAAAAGGCAAGGAAGCCACGGTGTGAGGACTGGGATGGTTCCAGGGCATCAGCAAGGAATGATGCAGCTCCTCAGTGGAGCATTCACCCTTCAGGTAACACATAAAATATAGGAAGTTGCCCAGTGAGTAGAAAAAGCCAAGTCCTGCTCTTTCCCTGCATTTTCTCTCCCCTTATTTAAAGGGTAAAATCCCCAGCACAAAATCTGATCAAAACCATCAGAACACCCAAGCTCAGGGCTGGGGGCCTCTAAGCTGCAGGATTTGGGTCTCAGGTGTTCACACCCCAGAGAATTAATTCACTCCCAAAGGCAAAGGGGTCTCAGGACCAATCCCTGCCCCTCACCTGCAAATTTGGGAGGGCAGAGCTAAAACCAGCTGGCTGAGCACAGAGCGGGGGGAGAGAAAATCAGACCCTGGCAAGGGCAGAAACCATAGACAGCCAAGAAATAAGGGGAGAAAATGTTGCTCAGAAAAGCATGCAAGAGCCCCAAAGCCCCAGAACCCCTCGGGCTGTGAGGTGACACCGTCCTGACACTCACTTGGGATTCCCGACACGAGTTTCAGGGGTCGCAGCACTCGCACGGCTCGCAGGGTCCTCAGGTCAAAGTCAGTGCCTGCAGTCGCCAGAATCCTAATAAAAAACAGGGAGAGAGGGGGAAAACTGAGATTCAAATGGAAATTCCTCTTTCCAAAGGGTGGATTAGTGCCGTGTAAAACCAGCAAAAAGTCGGGATGCTTTAAACTTTATACCTGTGGTCACGTCGTAAATGGTGTGCACTGAAAGCCATCAGCTCACACCCTCCCCTCGGGGCTGCTGAGCCTTGCTCAGACTATCGAAAAATCCCCAATCTCTGCCTGCTTTATGCAACCATTGACACATCATCTGGTCACTAAAGAGCTGTAAGGATACAGGAAAACACTGCACCGTTTCCCAGGAGGAAACAGAGAGAGGGAACTAAACCTCTCAGCTACACCAGAAATCATCTGCCAGAGCTTCTCCCGGTAATAAATTCAGAAATCCCTCAAGTACTGGTGTCTGGTGTTTCCCCAATACCTGAAGCAGTTTCTAGTGGCACAGTTTACTCTCTGTGTGCAAAATCAGTCTTTGTTCAGAGCATCTTCTTTGAGGAGAATATTCAGAGAGCAGAGGCATGAGTCTGATGTGAAATACAGTGTATGAACCCTGATGTGAAATCCTGGTGGGAAATACAGCCCCCACACCAGAATGACTCTCCAAAAGGAGATGCCTCCACTGTTTGAGGGTGTAGCAAAGGAAGAAATATTGTCCACAAGCCACAGTGATGGAAACTCCTTAAGCAAAGGCTCTGTAAAGGACACACTGCCCCACCAGCAAAGCCACCTCCACTCAGTACTGCAGCACTTCCTATGATGCTTCACCAAAAATATTCTTAATTGAAGGCAGTACTCCCCTAAAGGTTGGACTTGATGATCTTGCAGGTCTTCTCCAACTTAAACAATTCTCTAACACAAGCCAACCGTGCAGGTAATTCAGAGCAAACCCTCCCACCAGCTCCCCACCTGCTGCACCATTTACAGCCACCAGGAGCAATTGCCTTTATTTTGCTGTCTCTGCCCCCAGGTTGTTCTGCCAAGGTGGAGGTGGGCGAGCATCCAGTCCACCAAGCAAGCCCCCAACCACCTGGTGTCAAATGCCACCCTCTGTACCCACCCCTGCTGAAGGTGCTGCCCAAGGACCCACCCTTGACCATCATCGGCCAACCCTTCCCTGAGAGTCACAGCAGCGACAGAGACTCACAAACCCGGCTGAAAAGAGGGATTGCAGCGCTGCCAGAGGCCATGGGAAGGGCTGGAAGGAGGTGCCAGGCTCAGGCAGTGAATCCCAAGGGATATTCAGCTCCCAGGCACAGCAAGTGCCCCGTGCTGGGGCACAGAGATGCTCAGAGCACCCCTAGGGTGCACCCAGGGTTTGTCTGCTCCAGCCCATGAGCTCTTTTTCCTGGTTTCAGGCTGCTGAACTTTCAGCACTGACCAGCTACCATTTGAAAAAAAAAATATACAAGAAAAAGCAGACTTTTTCAAAATAAGATGGATAATTCTGCTCTGTGCTACACAGGATGCTGCAAACTCAGAGGAGGGGGATGTGGCTGTGTGGGGAGATGAAATCCCTGTCCTTGACTTACTGACTGACTTAGCCCTGCTGCCAAACAGGGGCCAGGGAAGAGCAGGCTCAGCATTGCTGGGCGGAAAGGGCCAGACTCCCTCAGCAGGAGGTGCTGGAGATCAGGAAAAAAACACGCTGAGATGTTGGATGGCAAGAGGCAAAAGCCAGCCAGGACCTGAGGAGCTGAGTATCTATTCTATAGGACACCTGTTCCCACATTTTCACGACCTTAAAATTCCCATTACATCAGCCCCATGGATGCAGTTTGAGCATAAGCAACAGGAGATAATTTAAACTAAGAACCAGCCCATGCAGAGACTTCTAATTCCATCTTCTGCACCCATGCCAACGATTTCATTCCTCTTCTCCCTTCCCTCCATCCTCCCAGCTTAATTGCTCACCTGTAAACCCATGCAGTGTGGGAACAACACTGCAAGTCAAAAGACAATCTTCAACATCCCCCTCGGATGTTGCTCCTAACGGCACCATTGGTCTCCAGAGAGCCAAGATGGATTTGTGCTGCCACCAGAAAGCCCTAAAGAGTCATTAATTCCCACATCACTGGCACTGTCAGCCCTCAGCCACCCTACACAGGGCACCCCATAGCCCCCCATGCCCCAGGGCTGGAGAGCTGGCCCATGGACTGTGTCACATCACAGTCACATCACCCAAACCAGCCCCGACCACAGAGCTGAGCTGGCACTGCTCCCTCTGCACAGCACTCAGGCACTTGTGGAAGGTAAAACAGCCCTAGAGAAGGAAAAGAAAAACAGAGCTGTGTGCTAAACAAAGTCACTTCTGGTGGAGAAGTCACAGAATCCCAGAATGGTTTGGGTTGGAAGGGACCTTGAAGTCCATCTTGTTCCAGCTGTCAGTGCAGGAACGGGGCAGGGACACCTTCCACCAGCCCAGGGTGCTCCAAGCCCCATCCAACCTGGCCTTGGACACTTCCAGGGATGGGGCAGGCACAGCTTCTCTGGGCAACCTGTGCCAGGGCCTCCCCACCCTCACACCCAAAAATTCCTTCCCAATATCCCATCTAACCCTGCCCTCTGGCAGTTTGAAGCCATTCCCCTTGTCCTGTCCCTCCATCCCTTGTCCCCAGTCCCTCTCCAGCTCTCCTGGAGCCCCTTTAGGCCCTGGAAGGGCTCTCTGGAGCCTCCTGGCTTCTCTCCAGGTGAACCCCCCCAGCTCCCCCAGCCTGGCTCCAGAGCAGAGGGGCTCCAGCCCTTGGAGCATCTCTGTGGCCTCCTCTGGATTCACTCCAGCAGAAATGGGAGACTGAGGGGATGAGGAGGCAGCTCTGGATCTGAACATCCACATTTGAGCCTGGCAGGTAATGAGGGAGGTGCTGAGAAAGCCCGGGTGGGCATCCAGCGTGGTCCTGCTTGAGCTGACAGGGGAGGGAGGGCTGGATGCTGCAGCCTTGTCCCACTCTGTGCTCACCCCCTCAGCTCTGTGGCTCCAGACAGTCCATCCCAACAGTGGAACTGGGGCAGAGAAGGCCCTGAAACCTTTAAAAGTGTTGCAGTGTCAGCACCTACCCCAGCAGCCCTTGGGCTCTTACAAAGGACCCACCAGCAGCAGCTGGAGCACAACAAAGCAGCTCAGAAGCTGTGCCAGGACAGAGATGGTGCCTTTTCTCCCTCCAAAATCAAAGCTAATTTATTGCTGCTCACCAGTCCAGTCCCTTAAACTGCTCCCAGACATGCCTGGAAAAGTGTCCCAGTGAGGGAAAGACCTTAATTAACTTCATGGCATTTGCCAAAGTGCCACCTTTCTGCTTTGCTTTTTCCCCCCTGCTCCAGCTGAAAGCTGCCAGCAGCCACTGGGAGTTAGGTCAGAACAAGAGGGAAATTATCATTAAAAAAAAAAAAAAAAAAAAGAGAAATAGGGAGATCAAAGGAGCCAGCTGACAAGCACATCCCAACAATCCTGCTCAAACTTCCCTGGCAGAGCAGCCAAGAGCTGAGAACAAAGCAGAGGTGATGGGTGAGACGGTGCTGGGAGAGGAAATCAGCTGGAGAAGGTTAAAAAAAAAACGCTAAACCAGAAGATTTTCGGTGATAACCTCACAAAGAAGAAATGGCTTGATCTGCAGCCCTTTCTGCCTCTTAATGGCTTGTACAGAAACACTGGGATTTGATATGATGCCTTTGATACTTCCAGTCTAAGTGCAACAAAACCTCATTAAGTGAGTTCCTCCGTGTAATTTGCCTTTTTGATGAGCAGGGCGGCTCAACACCAAACCATTCCTGCTCGAGTGCTGCTGGGGAGGACCTGGCCACAATCCTGCCAGCCCTGGGTGCTCAGCTCCTCATTCCTCTTTCAGCATAACTTGGTTAAAATGTTGCTTTTTAAATTCATCACTTGGTTTAATGCTGTTTTCTCTGCCTCTCCCCCACTAACAAGCTCTGACTGACACCCCTTCCCAGGGACAGATGTGTGATAAATGCTTGATAACTTCGATTCCAGCAAAGCCTGGAATAAATTATAAAAGCAGCTGATTCCTTTGGGTCTAAAAGAAAGCAAAGAACGAAGGGTAAGTTCCTTTCCTGAGTGTTCTGGTAACATAAATAATTAGCACTCCATTCCTTTCAGGACCTGGGAGCTCAGGGTTGCTGTGCACTGGTTCAGCTGGCAGATAAACACCACGAAAAGAATCCTCTTATTGAAGCCCTGACCAAAGAAAATGCCTTGGAAATCCTTCAGCTTTAGCCCCAGAGCTCTCAGTGCAGAGGACTGGAGTGGGAAGAATCTAACCCTGCTCCCTCAGGATTATCCCCACCTTGCCCTCCACCTGCCCTGGTGGCCTTTCAGTGGATTTATTTCAGAGGGGCAGGTGACAGAGGTGCTTTGCATCACCCCCAAGGAGGGAAGAGGCAGAGGAACAGGCACACAGGAGATGCCTCCAAAAAACAGAGGATCAAAAAACACAGGGGTTTTGTGCATTTCACCCCTTAGAGAAGCAACACAGAGACCAGGCAGGCCACTCATCTGCAGGGGATGGAGCACATTGTCCTCCCAGTCTCCTGCCATCCCTGTCTATAAATCACCACCGGGGTGGGATGGGATGTGCAGGGGAGAACAGGAGCTGCTTCAGTGTGTGTGCTCCTGGTCAGATAACACACAGCTCCAGCAGAAAGCAGCACGATGAATCACTCAGAGCCATTAACACTTCCCAGGGGATCTCACCACTGGACAACACCGGTGCCAGGGCACTTCCTGCTACAGGAGGAATCACTGGCAAATAAATTGCAGGCATTTTTAATGTAACTTTGCTATTTTTTTATTAACTCTAGTCCTGGGAAGTAAGTGGAAATGGTGATTTTTATCAGAGGCCTTACCCCAGCCACCAGTTCCTAAGAACCAAGTCAATCCCTTCAGCAGGATTAGGAGAAAGACTAAATACTCTGCAGACAGCTTCCCTAAAAAAGGATAAAACCAGCAGCTGGCTTATGAAAAGAAACAGCAACTGTCACTTCCTA